CTGTCCACTTCAGCTCACTCATAATTTTTGTATGTTTCAGACAGTAGTTTGACCACATGCTGATCAGGAGACTCCTCCATTGTGTTAAGAAGATCTGAAGAAGTCTCAAGTCTGATTTGAAACAGCACAAGCCTGAGTCAGCCATATGTCATATAGAACTAAAGTTAACAGATTCCTAAGACCGATTGACATCTTGGAATGATGACGAAGAAGACCAGAATAACATCAACAAGATATTTATAAGATGTGGTTTAATCTTGTCATTGAGTAGATCGGTTTTTCAAACTAGTCTCTTCCTCTCCCCAATTCTAATGCTTGACACTGTGACATAGGAGTCTGAACCTTCAATAAATTGTTCACAATTATGAGAATGATGGAAGAGCATTTTTTTTTTGTATCTGTTGGCTTACATTTACATGAGAGAAATCTCAACTTACTACTGCAATCTGATTTGACATATGCTCCTTGCATTTTGCACCTGCCCATGTCTGCTTACCTGTTCTTCTACTTTTCTCTGGAGAGCCTAGTTGGAGCTGTCTATCCAATCTGCCATCTCTTCTCTCACCCTACTTTTTTTTACCAGACTCCTCACTCAGTTTACATTGTTTATGAGAACCTAATCTACTGTCTTGGCACCAATGATGTATTGGTACGATCACACAATTAATCTCACAGTTATATGACCCTTAGGTAATTGATTGACTTTTTGATAACCGACTATCATGAAAACTTCTTCCTTCTACCACTGCCAAATATGTCTTTATGTAAACAAATCACATTGGTTTTGACAGTTTTTCTTTTGGAAAGCCAAAATTATTCAGACTAAGAAAACTATGCCAAGCCGATGGATACATCTTTAAGTAAACAATGTTGTATCAAGGATTTTTAGAGATTTTTTTTGCCCCATATTTACCTATCTTGATCAGGTAAAGAACTGTATCCATTTCTACTAAATAGTCTGCATGTAAATAATGGTAACTCTTCATCCCAGAAATTCTGACAAAGTTACCATTTACACTACATGCAGAGTTGTCTATGTAGACAATAGTATTACTGATGTCAAATTTGAAATGTGGACAATCGACATACACTTGATGAAGGCTCTCCAGCTTCATCAAGTGTATGCCAATCAAGATAGCTTCCAGGGAATTTCAAACTAAATCCTTTATTTAATCTATAGGGTAGTTTGTTTTCATTCCACTGTCCATGACTAGTTCTTATTTTTAGTACTGCATGGCTGTTTTCACTAAATCCAAGTACAAACTGCCCAGCCCCAAAAATGAACTCACAATTACTATATGCTTTAATCTACTAGGCTATCATCCCATGGGACAATTCTCTGTGGAGAACTTGAAGCCTTAAACCTAACCTGCCTGCTGATGAATGCTGTTGCTCTTGTTATGCTTAACTACACTGACTGAAGCTTTTCTCACAGCTGCTGCAAGACTTGCCATCATTTATTTTTCTTTCTTTACTTGTGGCTCCCATATTGTATTTATTTCTATACTAGGCCTACTAAGGGGATCCTCATAGTCTAGCATACACACTGATTCTTTATGAAAACAACAACAAACATAAAGATAATAGTCTGCATGTAAATAATGATAACTCCTCATCCCAGAAATTCTGACAGTAATTATCAGCAAGTTAATATTTCAGTTTGATTCCTTAAGAGCCTTCTCGACATCTCTAATTTCTTAAAACTAAGTGACCTTCTTAATTAATTCTTTTCCAATAATCATTAAACACAATAAAGCCTTCTCTCAGCTTTTCCCTCTAATTCTGTATGCTGAAATCAGGTCTTCCTTCATTTAATTCTATTTGTCAAATGCTGTAAAGTCTCCTTGGGCCTCTACTCACCCTATCCAAGTGGGTTGCCACCTAGTTTATCATGCAAAAGTTACTTTTGAAAAATCTATATTGAAGAAAAAAGACCAAGATTAACATGTACATTGCAGGTGTTGGAAATCGGTAGAAAGACCCAAATGAAGCATTTTCCATTGGTTATCATGGCATACTAGTGATGAGACATTTTTTGTTAAAATAAGACACAGTGTAAAGATATAGTTTCGTACTTTTCCATCCAGCCAATTACAATTTCCACTTTGATAGCCATTGCAGTTACACTGACCTTACTGCCGTAGCTAGCTTGTTAATCATTATATCTTGGTGAAATGCACAAGTCAGCCTTTGTGTCAGCTGTTAAATAGTCCATTAATGTTATGATTTCCAAATCAGATTTCTTTAAAATAAACAGTCTACATTTTGCATCAATTTGTTTATTTTCTTAATCAAATTTATGCTGCTAAGCATTTTTTCAACTACGTTTACACTGTACAAATCCTGAGAGCCACTCATGGCACATGGCAAAGGGTTAAAGTAAGAGGCACAACTTATTTTGATATGTGTGGAAGATAACAGTTAACCCTAGATTTGAACAGTTTAAGATTGTAATGATTGGTCAAGCAACCTCTTGAGAGTTCCACAATGCAATGGTTCATGGGAAGAAGCTGCTTGTATAGAATTTACACATCACCAAGGGAATACAAAGGGAATGAGGGTGGTTTGCTACAATGGGGGTGGCATAGCAGGTCTTAGCCATGAAGGTCAGGACTGGTGGAATGGAGGAGAGTAGTTCATCTGAACACTCTCCATGAAAATAGTGTCTCATCTGTGAGAAATATTTTGTCACCCACAAGGACTCGGAGACACTTTTGGACCCTATCTAGACTGGAAAGAGAAGACTGGGCAACTGCTGCCCATATATGGCTGCAGTTCTCCATTTTCGGCATGGATCTTGTAAGGATAGAGGATAGCAGAAAGAGTCAGGATTTTTCTGGAGCAGTACAGGGAACCGACCATTTTCCCAACATCTTTAACAATGGATCGTATGTACAAATTCCACTTGACGTTTGGGTCCTAATAGGCTCCTGGAAATGCCAGGTGCTGTAAGCTTGGATGTGCGGGTGGTGTAATGGATAATGGCTTGGAATTGTTAATTGGATAGCCGAGTTTATGTTCAAATTGGGTTCGTTATATTCACTTACGCGCAAATACGCTTCCACCTCTTCTCCCTCCCCGAGCAGAGCCAGTGCGTACGATCCTATACTGAGGTAGGGGACTTGATCGGGGGTCCCAGGTAGTGCTTCGTGAACCTCACTATCTTATTTTGCTCTTTCTTCACCTGCTTTTATATACGTTACAAATTAAACTAAATCCAACTGACTATTAAAAGATAAAAAATTTTCGCGGATTTTGACGTCATTCTGGATTCTTTTTCTTTCTTTTTTTTTTTTTTTTTTTTTTGTCCAAATCCGTGAATTTCTGTTTTTAATGTTAAGTTTTGAACAAAAAACTATATAAAATTTAATATTTTTTATCTATAATGTTGAATATGTTAAAATTATTCAACTTTTTAACAAGGAAAATCTTAAGTTGACGTTAAAAATTGCCGCAAAACATTGTTGATTTATTTAAGATGGTATGATCTTTTATGACATCTCTAATCTATACTTAGATACATTGTATTTATTTTCAATTTTTCTAGATGAATTGTTTACGCATATTGCATATAATCCGTTATTGTACATAATTAGGCTACAATAAAATTTGTATTTTATATGGATGCTCCCTTTTGAAAATTGATAAAAGAAATTCTAGATAAAAGAAAATGCAACTTTTTTTTTCATTTTTAGACTTCCGTACTTTAAAATTATGGACGTTATCTTTTGTCGGGAAATAATGAAAATGATTAACTAAGTTTACTAAACTAAATATTTATATTCTATGGGCTTTAATCGCAACATTTCAGGAATTCTCTTTTTAGACAGCTGTGTAATCTCCAACAACGCTAGAGTTCATAGTTCGAGCCAAGTAAAAGACAGTAATGATTTTCAAAGCAGAGAAATCGTCCATACTTAAAAAATGGACGCCACGTAATCTTCCCACACTCTTCATTATTACTATACCTATACCTCCAACAATGGATCTTCTACCGGACAAAACCAAGCTTCATGAATAAAGCTATTTATAAAACGTATTTGTGTTACATTACTACTTTTTATTTAGATATGATGTCTGCATATTTAGGAGTGCTGTTTTATTCTATATACGACAAGAATGTCCGCAGTAAATTATATACGTCTTGGTTTTATTTTTTTTTTTTAGACTTATTTGCCACCCACAATGGCTGAACCTCATACATTGTCATTTTTAGTGTAAGAGGCCGTGTATATGTGTCAAAACAACCCAAGGTCGTATTCTATGGTGGATCATCCAGAAATAATCTCCTTCGACTAATGCTGAAGACATCAGAGTGATCCCTTTTTACTTAGTGAAACCTAAACGACAACTGCTTCATTGAGGACAAATCGCCAGTCACCACATTTTACTTGGTTTGTTGTTTCTTCAAACCCAAAAGGCAAAAACAAAAAAACAAATTAAATCTAAAAGTAAATTTATGTTTGAATAATTTGAATTAAAAGAACGGAACTTACATTCATGTTTCAATAAATTTTTCTTTAATATTATGCCCTTTCAGGACGTAGACGGTCACGGTTTTCCATAGCTTCCTTCTTATTTTCTGTGATTTGCCTTAACTTAAGGAGAAAAGATGGTGAAGTGGTTTCCTCTAGCCTTCTCCACCGTTTTGAATTCAGTGTTTTCCTGGTTACCACCCACTCTACCCAGTTACTTAACCTATAGCTGGTGGGGACGGGAAGATATCGATTTATGCATTCCCCAAAAGCTTTAGTGTGAAAGTCAACGCAAAAGGATTGAATGAAATTTGAACACGGTTCGTCAGTTCCACTTTCAGCGTAGATAACCATGAGTAGTGTAATGGGTATCTACGCCGAAAGTGGAATTGACGTGCCGAGTTCAAATTTCAGACTACTCTTTTTGCAAGAAACATTAATTCCTTCTGTAGAGGTCGCATCGCCTTGGAGTTATGGTTAGCAGGCAAGTCTTGGAGTTAGATCCGGACCTTGTACTGTACTAAGCTAAATTAATAAATATGGTATACAATGTAGAAGGATAGAAAATATAGAAAGAAAGAAAGTGGAAATAAAAAGAGAGGTAGGAAGAAAACGAGGGAGGGTAGAAAAGTAGAGGTAGAAAGAAAGTGGAAATAAAAAGAGAGGTAGGAAGAAAACGAGGGAGGGTAGAAAAGTAGAGGTAGAAAGAAAACGAGGGAGGGTAGAAAAGTAGAGGTAGAAAGAAAACGAGGGAGGGTAGAAAAGTAGAGGTAGAAAGAAAGTGGAAATAAAAAGAGAGGTAGGAAGAAAACGAGGGAGGGTAGAAAAGTAGAGGTAGAAAGAAAGTGGAAATAAAAAGAGAGGTAGGAAGAAAACGAGGGAGGTAGAAAAAGTAGAGGTAGAAAGTGGAAAATCAGGAGGAAGAAAACGAGGGAGGTTAAGAAAGAAAACGAGGGAGGGTAGAAAAATAGAGGTTGAAAATGAGGGAGATAGAGATAGGAAATAGGAAGATATGGTATGAAAAGGTTTCATCTGTCTATACTTCTGAGATGAGGTAAATATTTACACTAATAATATTCTTCTGACTGTTGTCCTCATCTTTATTGTCACATTCACGTACGCCCCAACTTCTTCAAGTGATATTTTGTTGAAATTTTGAATCGAACCTTTTATTTATACTACGGGGTACATTGTTCTAATTCCGCGTGCCATGCATTTGGATATATCAGTTTTAGTTAATTCCCTTTGATAACTCCATTCTCCAATCTGGGTTCTCTCTGTTGAGGCCAGGGATTGAACTCACAATTCTATGGTTCAAATGACTTTTTGGATCAATCAATCAATCAGTCAACCAACGCATTTATCCACGTGGACCATGACGTGACGTGACGTGACCTAAAGAGTTGTGAGTCCAATCTCTGACCTCAGCAGAGAGAATAAGATTTGGAGAGTTATCAAGAGAAATTCGCTAAAATTGAGATATCCAAAAGCCTGGAATGTGAAATTAGAACAATCTACCCCTGTGGACTAAATAAAGGGTTCGGTTCGAAATTCTAACAAATGACACCTGAAGAAGGCTGGAGCGTACAATGACCGAAACGTCGCGAATGTAACAATAAAGATGAGGATAACAGTCCGAACAATGTAAATTGTATAAATGAAAATGTTTCTTTATAAATGTTTTTGATTTTGTTGTTTGAATACAAGGTTGCTTTAAAAAAGTTTGCCTTAGCAAGTTCATCTCGCAGATGAATTCGCTAGTCTAGTGAGGAGGTGCACTGTTCCGGTCTTGTGTCTAATGAGGAGCTTCGCCGGAGTAACGGCCAATCGAATATTCTTCATGCCGTGTTCGCTGACTCGGTTACGTCCTGCGACGACCTTATGACCACGCTACTAGTCACCTACTGGTTCGATCCGCCATCTGCAAACTAGAGACGACTTCACGGCAGACTTCGCAGCCATTGACAGGACAATCCAGAGATTAATCTGGCACTGGAAGATCCGGCGCTCTAGCAAGACCGTGAGAGCTGAGGGAACAAGGTGGCTCTCGTGTGCTCAACGCCTTCATGGCATGGGGTCTAGCAATACAGCAATGACTTCGGCCAGTGCTACCTGTTTCTCCGTATATCATCAATACTGGTCTTGCTCCAGATGAATCTAAGTAAATTACTTTTTTGCCGTGTTCCGCCCGATTTGGATGATTTGTTTTTTATGGCTTATCAACCTTTTTTCGCGTTATTTAAAGCTAGAAAATTCTTTTTTAGATTGTAAGAATATTTTGGAGATAATAATGATATAATGATATCAGTACTATTATTTAACCCATAGCTGGCGAAAGAAGAGTTGGATTCATGCCTTTCCCAGTGATATTTGCACGTAAGTGAATATAACGAACCTGACTGGAACTGGAACTCTGTTCTCCAATTTCCAATTTCGAGTAGTTATCCATTGCACCACCTGCACATTCAAGCTTACAGCACCTAGTATTCGCAAGCAGTCACCCATCCAGGTACTTACTAGGCTCAACGTTGTTTAATTTCGGTTATTCGGCGAGAACCGCTGTTTCACCGTCATATGGCTGTAAACCCGAAGACAAGAACACGACAAGACTTGAATCCTTTGCCCAAGGACCAAACAACCACAGAAGTGGAGAGCCATAATCGTCGTTCACTACATTCACTTCCATAGTTTGCAATCAGGGCCGTAGCAAAAACAAATGTTTTTTTTGGGGGGGTGTATGACAAAAAATTAGAATTTAGCCTTAAGTTATCAAAGGCCACCGACATGTTTAGCGGCAAGAACATTTTAAATTTCCAGTGCCTCTAGCTTCGCAGAAATCAACTTTGAAATAATAGAGAACCGTCTGTGTTACAAATGTAAGAACTTGTCGGAGTTAACTTCTCCTTAATTTCCTAATTGTCCAAATTGTTCCTAGAGGTCGCTATCTCTAAAGTATAAATACTTGAGAATACCTCTCTCTCTCTCTCGCTCGCTCGCTCGCTCGCGCGCGCATTTTCAACGGACACTACGATGATGTAAAGCTCTCGCAGAAGATTCCGTTTCCCCCCTTTGGGGGAATGGCGCTATGCGTTTCCTTGGGGAGACGCCATGAACATTATGCACATGCACATACACACACACGTACGTACAAACATACTTCGAAACACGAACACGTTCATGCACACACGCACATTAATGTTTTTGTCTTTTGTAAACCCTTTTTGTTGTCTAATACACGTATTTGTAAATGTATATCGGTTTCTTGTTTTTCTGTTACATTTTCTTTTAGTTGGACTCGCCTCTAGTCCGCCATATTTTTGTAGTGGGCTTTTTTTTATTTCAGGCGTTCCACACGTATTCATATCACAACGCGTAAAAAACCCACGGCTCACTACAAACTTTTTATCTTTTCTTAAATGTCTACATGGAAAATATAGATTAATTAATGAAGGATTTTTTTTTTACTTAGTTCATTTTAATTTGGGTCTGGAAAGAAAATAAAACAAGAAGAACTTTTTAAGCTATTGTCCTGCCTGTATTCCAATACGAAGATCATGTCTTGAAATTTCCCCAAATAGGAGACTTGGATATGATTTCCTTTCGGAAAACGAGTTTTCAGCGTCTTTGTGCGCATGCATTACCATCAAATCACTTTTCACCTATAGAATACTTCTGCCATATATGGTCTGGTGCTTGTTCATTTCGAGGTCCTCGACAAAATCCAGAGACGGATATGCAATGTGGTTGGTCCTGATCTGGCATCCCGTTTACAGTCGCTATCTCACAGCTTTCCTCTGTCTTTTCTATAAGTACTTTCGTGGCAACTGCTCCGAAGAGCTACTTTCACTGGTTCCCAAGTTGCATGAATTTAAGCATGCTACTAGGTTGGCATCACGGTCCCACCCTTTCACTGTCGAAACGGCTAAATGTAGCCATCTCTTCTAATCCAACAGCTTCTTATCCCACAACTCCCGTCAGTGGAACTCCCTTCCTATCACTTGCTTCCCTGATAGCTATAATCTTCAAATATTTCAAATGTAATGTCAATTGACATCTTCTGATGCCTTGACCTTGATCCCTGTCCTTCTCTTTATCCTTTTCCCTCTTTATTCTCTTACTTTCTGTAACCCTCTGCGTAAACCTTGCGTGCTAGTAGCTTGGGGTGATTTCCTTAAAAAAATCGATCGTAAATATGTTTTAACATTTTTAAGCACTGAAAAAATTCTTTCATACATCTTTAAAGAATTCTTTTATCAGACTTTTATGAAAGTGATATTCTTCTTTGCTTTGATAGTTTCTTTTCTTTCTTGTATTAAAATAATAAAACCCTGTAAAAAAAATACTACAGTTGGCAAAAGTTTTGGAGGAGCCAACAAACCGGCTGCTACAGCTCTCACTATTATTAATGTTCACTCATCAACGATAATTTACCTTCGTCGTATTCATGGTCTATTTCTACATTCGCTTATGTTATCCTTATAAATCGATCTCCGACAACAAACTTCAGAAAAATCTGATTGAAGTTAACATCCCTTTTTTATGTCTGATGGACTCTCCCGTCTTGCAGAAATTATAGCTTACGAAGAGAGTCCATCATACATAAAAATAGGGAGTTACTTTTCAATCACCATGTACATTTATGTATTTCATACTTTAATAATATTATTTAATTCTTTCAACTAGGAGAAAATTCGGCCCGTGAACCCATTGCAAAAAAAAAAAAAAATAAAATTGCACATATTTCGTGTATAACGTTACAGAACTTAATTATCTGCCCTTGACTCGGCGGTAATTTATGCACATGTCAAACGGTAGGAAATGCGTCACGTGACAGACTGGCGACGAGAATAGAGAAAAAAAAAAGTCGTCTCGTCATTTGAAATCGATTTCATCCATCAAAAACGACGTCACATCTGCACAAGACTGTTGTCACCTGATATAGACGAGACAATCATTGACCCGCGGCACAGGCAGAGTCATCTACCAAAGTGACCAGCTTTATAGATTTCTTTTATATATCCAATTCGCTTATTGAACAAACTAGTGTCGCATTCATGTTCTGTAAACATGTAGAAGGATGTGCGTTGTGGTGGAATGGATAATGGCTCGTAATTGGAAATCGGAGAACCGAGTTCAAATTCCAGTCAAATTCTTTACATTCACTTATGCGCAAATACCCTTAGGAAAGGTATGAATCCATCTCTTCTCCCTTAGCTATGGGTTAAATAGCTTAACAATATTATGGCTTAAATATGACTGGGTCCTATAGCCTAAGTTGGCAACCAGTCTAGCGTAAAAAGAAACGGCAGCCTACTGCGGGAAAATCTTCTGTCTAATCAGACATGATTGCCCAAGCGTTATTACACATAGCATTTAACTGACTGAAATATGTAAATAAAGTATTATACATGTCCTTTTATTTTTCGTCAGTTTTAGCATATGGCGGATATGGTAATGCTAACAGTAAGGTAAATTTATCTACACGAGTCATTTCAATGTATGTTTAGATGTGGCGCATTACATCCTAGTGGGTTTTGCCAATCATTTTACAACAAACACTTTACGCTTTAAAAAACACTGAAATTTTTTGTCACCCTTACGTAACGTAATTTTTCTATTTCAGATGTCTGACACGAACTCCTAGAGTTTGGATTTTTTGTTTTTTTTGCAATTGTATGATCGTGTGCATTCTGGCAAGAGCACGGAGGGTGTACGACAGGACTTCACTGCAAGATTCGAAAAACCAGCCCCTCCGAAGAGGACAATATTGCAACAGAGGGTCAATTAAGGTCAAACTAAGAACAGGACGACCCTCAACGCGAATGGATATATGCGCAGCTAGAGGTGGAAGCATCTGTGTTACGATCACCCAAGAAATAGTGGTGACAATATTTTCGGACCACCCTATAGATTTATATACTTTATTCATTCTTTGTGAATATTTAGTGTTGTACTATTCTGAAAATGCTGTCGGAAATTTAAGTTCCGTTAGAAATCACAAACAAAAAGAAAATATCATTAGAAAAAAAAAAAAAACAGAAAATGATAAAATGAATTCAGTTCAGTGGGAAAATGAGGTCTTATTATAGAAAGACATTGAGGAAAAAAACTTTTTTTTATTGATAGACAGAAAATATTTTTGTCATGAAAGAAGACAGGATCTTAATTGACGCTATAAAACACAACATGAGACTGATGACATAGAAGGAAAAGAGGAGCCAATGCTTGTGACTGAGTTACAGAAATAATATGCGATTAAAGAAAAGGTATATATATAATTTTTTCTTTTATATTGGACATACCACTAGAGGCATATCGAAAAGACTCGCGTTACACCTCCCCTGCCCGAAAACCTACCAAACCCCATCCGCAACATATTTGTAGAAAATACAAGTATAATAGCTTCATCCACATGTTTAAAAAAAAGACTAAAATAATGGAAGTATTAATAATAATTAAAAAAAGGCCAACACTCAGTAACATCAACTATGAATATGGCCACAATGTATTGACCGTGTTTGGAAAAAATAAACATTCCTATAACACTAGATATATACATAAAGAAATCCATAGATTCAGTTAAAAATTTTAAAAAATCATCCTCGATAATAGTTAAAAGAATATGAAAAAATCGTTCGGATATGCAAAATATTTTCTTTTTTTTACATTTTATCTTTTAAGAAAAGAGTTTTTTTATAAATTACAAGAAAATTAAATAAAATGATCTTGTCAGTCGTCTTAATGGATTGTAATTTCTATCATATTTATTTAAAATAAAAATTATATGATATATTCTTTATATTTTAATATATATATGGTTGGATGCAATTTAAATATAGTACATAATAAAAATATATAATATTAAATTATTATATAAATATATTTTACCAATATATATAAACAATATACAATTAGTTATATATATAAAAATATAAATATATATATATAAATTAATATATGAAAAATGTGAAAAACAAAAAACAGATATACAAAGTGATTGTTTTTGATAAATAAAAATATTTTATAAATATATAAATTATAACAATATTCATTATATATACAATATATAGGGACAAATATATATAAATAATGGACATAAAATGCATGCATATAAAACTTATTATCTGGACATAATTATAATCAAGTATTTTATATTATAAATTATATAATATATATATATATATATATATATATATTATATAATTGTGTTATATAGATATATATATATATTTCTATAAAAATATTATCCTATATATCAACATGTATATATTTATAAAAAGATAATTATTATATATATCTATATACATTTTCTATATACAAAAAATATCATATATATGGATATATGTTATACATATATTTATTTCATAAATTTTTTTTTTATATATATATAGAGTACTATAATATATATATATATATAGCGTTTTATATACATATATATATATATATATATATATTTATAATATATATATTATATAAAACTTATTTTAATTTATATATATAATTTAGATTTTTTATTTATTCTTTATAAATATATATATTATATATATCATAAAAAATAAATATATTCTAATAAATTTATATAT